GGGGGGGGGGGGGGGGGGGGGGGGGGGGTAAAAGCTAAGTGGTCACTATTTGTCAGATAAATTGAGATATTCTGCCTGAGATGGAGCAAATTCAGCTGTCGGATCAATAAGCAACAGAGCAAAAAATACATATAAAAATGCTCCCTCTCAAGTAGTTCAGCAGTATGTCTTCAAGGTGATCAGACTCAGAGACCGCTTTAAAAGAAGAAAATATGAAAAATCTTAAGAAAAATGTCTTCCCAAAAATAACCAGAGAGCCACATAAAGCTTACACTGTGGGTGCAATTCTAAAACCTTGTGGAAATATGCTTTATTCATCTCCCACAACTTTATACAGTCTAAACTTGGAATTGCTGTAAGCTATAAGATAAAGTCACCATGTTTCTAATCAGAGGGCTGCAGGTTTGGTGCTCAATGAAGTGTCCTTTGACATGTTGAACCCTAAGCAGGTGCCTGGTTTCCTTCATTTGTGGGCTACTCGGGTAAAAGCATTTGGTAAATAAATGGGATATAGAGAACGTGGATGCCAGTTACGTGTTATACTAAGAATACATCATAAAATAAAAAAATTAAAACAACTTGTTACTTAATGCAACTATTACTTTTTTTTAATTCCATCCAAATTATTCATGAACATTTGCAAACAAGGGTTTTATTTCAAGCCTACTTCAACAACACCCATTTGCATTTGGGTACTTTCCATGCTTCGAACTTCATAGAAAATAAGCTTTCCCGTTTTTAGTCAGAACCATCTGTACTTTCAAAATCCACCTTTTCGAAGATTACGAGGATGTAGCACAGTTCAGTTTTTTTTGTCCCGTACACTGCCCCATCTTCCACTTGTAGCCTATCTCATTGTATCATAACAGACCACTCAAAGAAGACTGAGTGGAATGTCAATTCTCACAATGTAACTTGGCGATGGTGGGGATCTGAGCCACAACCTGACCAGCAAGTTAGTCATAGCATCATCCCTCCACGATCCGACGGAGTAAGTTTCCCAGACCCCCCTTGGCTAACTGGAGGGGGGTCTTTTCTTCCTTGTTCTCGATGTAAATGCTGGCCCCGTGTTCCACCAGCAACTTGGCTGCCTCCACACGTTCTTCGTCGCATGCGAGATGTCTGGATGAGAAGAAAAAAAAAAAAAAGACATTTTAGATTTGTGCAGGTTTAGACGTACGGACGACCAACCATCCTCTCTGACGGGTAGTGCTTAGGGAAAGTGAGGCTGTTTGAACATCTGTTTGTGTCGCACGTACAGAGGCGTGTTGCCCTGCGAGTCTTGGATGTTTGTGGAGGCGCTTTGCTTGAGAAGCAGCTGGATGAGGCGATAGTTGCCCTTAGCCGAGGCTCTGTGGAGAGGGGTGGACTCCAACTTGTCGGTGGCATTGGGGTCCGCTCCATTTTCTAGCAGCAGCAAGGCGATCTACAAAGAGAGGAACAGGTTCACACACAATGTGACGATTCACCCGTTTCAATGAAGCAGACATGCCAACGTCGGCCTTTCGGTTTCGGAGAGGTATGCCACACTTCTTGCTTTCTTGAAAAAATTCCTCGCCACACATGAAGTGAGACCAGGAATTGGTATGAGAGTTCCTGATACTAATGGAAATAACTCTGAACAACTGAAACTTCCCCCCCCCCGCACATCCGTTTAATATTCAATGTGACTTTGAGAGCTCTTGCTCATCTCCTATACACTGATAAAGGCAAGAGGAATGAAAAACTTGTAATCCTTGTTTCCATGTCATGTGTCAGATACCAAAAAATGATTCTACATTTTAAAATTTCTAACTGTACAATATAATAGTTGGCGGGTTTAAAAAAAAAAAAAAAAAAGAGGTCAAAGACATGAAGATAATCCATCACAAATAATTTAAAATGGGTTCTTTCTAAGTCTGAAACTATAGGATTCCCTTATGATAAAGTCAGGCCTTGAATGATTATGCTGTTTAAGCCCCACACCTCACATATTGCCATCTGACATATCCAGACTACACTAAACACACCACCGGGTCTTCCATATAGTGTTTAACCCTTTAAGCCTAAACAGCATATTTGGTGCAGATTTCTCAGACCTATTGCAACTTCATAGTCAAAACTTTGTTTAAAAATATTTTTTTTTTTCCTTTTTTGGGGTGTATTTTAGATTATTTTACAAATGCACAGAGATTAAATTTGATTTTCTTAAAAAATGCTTTGATATTTTTCCATTTTGTTAAAGAAATAAACAAAGACAGATTAAGTTGTTTTTCAGCTTTTTTTTCCTCAGTTCAGCCATCATAGGGTTAAAAAAAGATTTGTTTTTTTTTCTTTTTTTAAATCACCCAAAACGCCAGACCGAATCGTCATTTTGACTTATGCAAAGTTTCCACACTTCCCGAAACTCTGGGGATAGGGGACACCCCCCGGGGACCCCCTTACTCACCCAGAGGAGTCGCACAATGATAAATCAATGCGACATATGCAAAAAAAAAAAAAAAGAAGTATCTTTGAGTATTTGTGAGACATAATAGAAGAAAGTAAAGGCCCGTGTTAATATTCTATTCCGACATTATCTGGCCTAAATGTCAAGTTAAATCCCAACGGCAGAGGCTATCCTTACCAATAAAAGGGCAACTGAATAATGAAGATTAATGAAGTTGGGATTATGAGAAAATGAGTCTGGCCTCATAATAGGGATGCCAAATGTTCACAAAATCTATTACCACGTGAGTCACGCGGAAGCTTCAGACCAGAAACCAGAACTAAGCTTTTTGTTGAATCAACTGAACCAGGGCCGGGCCCTTTAGACCTGATGGGAACAAGTGTAAGTGTGGTCACGGATCATGTGGCTTCAGCCGCCGTCACCGCTGACGGGAAAGCGTTACCTCATATCTGTCTTTAGAGGCGGCATAATGCAGGGGCGTGCATCCGTTTTGATTAACTGAATTCAACTGAGCTCCTTTGGATATCAGAGATCTCACTATGTCTTCTCTACCTGCAGATGCTGCAATGTGCAGAGGAGTCCAGGAGGCCTGGGGAGAAGGGAGAAAAGCACATCTTATGTCAGTGGCATACAGAAATGACTTATCATACTTAAATGTAGATGTAACATGGCATCTCTGGAGGGCAGGGAGAATTTACGTCGATGATAAAGCGAACAAGCATTACAAATATGACATTACATATTCTGACAGACAGCAGACTCACGTCATCTTGCAGATTCACTTCGACTCCCAGGTCCAGGAGGAACTCTACAATATTGGTGTGTCCGGCAGAACAAGCCCAGTGCAGCGCGGTTCGACGGTCCTGAAACCAGAGGGCAGATCGTGTACCGCGAAGCTAACAAAGCAAATGAGAAAAAACGGTTGGCTTCTGCGTGGTCCCCGCTTTCTTACCTGGTCCGCTTTGCAGGCAAGAGTTTTATCTGACAGAATGCACTGCCTCAACTCCTCAAACTGCCCGATGTACGCAAAGTTACAGACCGCCACATTGGACACGGAGCCCTCCATTGTTGATAGAAACAAACTGTCAAACCAAACTCGCAGAGACCCGATAGGGAATGTTGAAGTTTCTGTGTTTGAAATACAGGCGCAATGACTCAGGAAATTATGAACCCCGCATCCGCACAGGCTAAAACTCCCCTCTTCAAATTAAAGCACGGGTGTGGATCTTTCTGTATACACTTCGTCCTGATAGTCACCAGGACACCTTTTACACCAGAAGTATTCAGATTATAGTCCAATAACTCCCCAAAAACGATTTTGAAGGAGTCTAGTCTCCTCTTTTTGTTTAGCGGCAAGCCCTGATATTTTATTTCCGTAGGCTTAAGTTGTACCCGCCGGAAGTAAAACATTTTCCAAGATGGCGGAGTTGTTTTACTAAAAAAATAAGGAAAAAAAGCACTTTCATTCTATATATTTTTATTCCCAGCGTCTTTGCCGACACTCTACATTGTTTTTGGGTGACGTATCGTCAAACATGGCAGCAACGCTGGTAAGTTTGTGGCCACAGAGACTTAAGTTGTTCCTTCATTAAGACTGCCCATCGCCAACGTGCGTCCAGTTTACAATACGAGGCTGAATATACCGAATGTTTATGGGTTCATTTAAACAACGATAAAAAGGATATAATTGGCGTTTGTGACTCTAGGATTTTAGGACCCACGCCGACCAGTCTTGCAGATATTCCGAAGAGTTTGTCAGCATTTACTACGACTGCATGGACAAGAAAAGGAGGGTAAGTTTTCTGCTCAGAGGTGTTTCCTCACTCTGGGTGTTTGAAATCATCATTATTAGTAACCGTAGGCTGTCTCTGTTTCCGAAATTAATTGCGGCGAAGCTTTGGCAAACAGAGACGTGTTTCACTGTGCTGTTCCACTGTTCCCCCACCAGAGGGCAGTGGCACACAGAGCTCTGGATCAGCTCGGCCGCGATCCTGGTTAAGACGTCGCCGGTGTTTTTCAGGCTGTGTCTGATATAAAAAAAACTCTGCTTTGCAATTTTGATTCAAGCACTGAAAATAAAAAAAAGACCTGGGAGGAACAGAGCTCTGTGTTCCCAATATTAGCTCTTTTCATTCTGCAAACGTTACATTTTCTGGACAAAGTTCCCCTTCCAGTATGGTCTGAGAACGCCCTCAGGGCAGCTGCATGATTGGGGGCCTCTGGTCAGACTCATGCTAAACATATCCTGTAGGGTAGAGGTCAGGGGCTTGAGTTGCATTTAAAGCATGCTGTCCTTCTTTCAGTTTTACGCACAGCTGGGAGTATGGTCAAAAGTTATTTTTCTTAAATTTTATTCAAAGGAAAGTCTCACATGTCCATTAAGCTTGGTGTCATGTTGTTTTCTATATATATATGTGTGTGTGTGTGTGTATATATAAACATGTGTGTGTTTGTGTGTGTGTGTGTGTGTGTGTGTGTGTGTGTGTATACATATATAATATTGTTTAATGGCTCCCAGAACCTGACCCGGCTCTACCTGGACAAGGCGACCCTGGTGTGGAACGGGAATGCGGTTTCCGGACTGGACGCCCTGGGCGAGTTTTTCGAGTCGCTTCCCTCGAGCGAGTTCCAGGTTCAGACTCTGGACTGTCAGCCAGTTCACGGTCAGTGGGGCGGCCTGAAGCATTTTTCCGGTCTCAGGTGCGGCTTTCACGGGAACTGAAAACTGTCTCTGTTCTCCGTCCACAGAACAAGCGACGCAAGGCCAGACCACTTTGCTGGTGGTCACAGGTGGGACGGTCAAGTTCGAAGGGAACAAGCAGCGTTTCTTCAACCAGAACTTTCTTCTCACCGCTCAGGCGACGCCCAACAATGACCAGCCGGTCTGGAAGATTGCCAGCGACTGTTTCCGATTTCAAGACTGGAACAGCTGAGGCTCCCTTACAATTTCCCCCCTGAATATGTTTGAAGGCTCAGCAGTGACTCTCTTTCAAATGAACTCTGTGTCTTTAATTGCTTCCCTTTTTCTTTGTTATAAAAACCTAACAAAAACATGTGAATGTTCAGGTCTTTAAAAAAAAAAGAAGCTGATTATTCATTTCATGGTGTTGATATTGGTACGGATATAGTCTTTAACTGGTGTTTCATTCATTGAAAGCATAGGAAACACATTATGGACGTCCTGTCATGTGCAGCTGTGCAGCTGGGGACGTTCCTGGCTGCTTAGGGTCTGAGCCACTGGTGTCCATCACCACAGCCAGATCAGTAGCCCCCCCCCCCCACTCCTCAGCCGCACGAACAAAACGCTCACTGTCTTCTACAGTGTGGTTCACCCCTTAATTTGAATTAAAAAAAACAGCCAGTCACAGTTAAACACGCTTCATACTATATACTTGGCCGCTGGGCATAGATGCAAATTATTTCTGGGTAGTTCTTTGTTTTCTTTTTTTTTTTTTGTTCTCCCCTAAATCATGTAGATCACATGTTTAATCTCAGAGGCCTGTGCTGGACCAGTGTCTGCTACAATGTTAACACCATAACTGCCTGCCCTACCACAAGATTCCTATTTGGAAACTTAAGAAATACAGTCGGTGGCAACCTTTTGAACTTTATCATAAACAGATACACAGCTGTCTTCAACCATGTTTCATTTCTTAACGTTCATTCGAAACAGCCTGACCTTCAAGAAAACCTTACTGTGTTATTTAGCAATAAGCTCAGCAGGCTTTTTTTGGATGGTTATTTATTAATATTAATTGATTTTGTTTCCCCCTTTTTAGTGCAGTCTTTATACTAAGTCTGAGCTACAAAACAAGCACCAAAATCAAGGGTTGAGACAATATTGTGTCTCCCCATATGACAAATATTAATCTTTTTTTTTTTCCAAAGAACCCCACTTAGATCCCCAAAACAGTATGCCTTTAAAGCATCACTTTAAGATGATGCACCTAAAGAGATGCATCTGAATGATCCACCAACCCATCTGAAACCTCACGTGAAATAGCCACAATAGAAAGGTGGCTGTCAGAAAGCTATTCTGTAGGACAAACCACAGAGACTTCAAACACACCAGTCCATTTCCTGCCAGTGTTATAAAAGCACGCCTGGACAGAAAAGGCCTCGGGCCACAGACTGCCCCCTCCAGAGCGCAGACTGGACCACTCTGCCCAACGGCCAGTAGTTCTGTTCACGACTGACCGTGTTCCAGTTTATTTGTGAAACTATTTCCCAATTTTCTTCACATTTCTTCTTAAAGAAATAAGAGTTACTCACATTATCTCAGCTATTTTAAGGACACACACCTCTGGGCTGTTTTCCATTTAGGAAACCAGTCTGAAAGTTTGGCATTATTGTGTTCGAACAAATAGTTGTCAAAATAATTTTCAGACATGTAAATGTCTCCAAAACCTTCTGCACCCATCGCAAAAAAAGTCACTTTTCATATCAAAGACAACAGAACTTCACCATACAACCTTCTTTGTTAATACTGTGTGTGTGTGTGTGCGTGTGTGTATATTTCAACCCAAAAAAGCCATACCACAATAAATAAGAAAAGTAGTTCATTTATTTATTTATTTTTATGTGTGGCCAGAAAGATGGAAGTGATAAAGTCAGATAGGTTCACCAAACAAGGGCTGTCGCCTTTAAAGATTAACCGTGAAGAAAAAAAAATCCATCAACATTCTTGGAAAAATACGTAGAAAACAATCCTATGACAAACATGAACACACTACAGTTCAGATCCCCCGGTGATACTAAGCTGTACAGGAATCTGCTAACTGAGGTAAAAATACACACAGTACTTACTACAGCTAATAGGAATTTGACAAAGTTTAAGCGGTTTGGCCTTTAATAAATAACGTGCCCACGAGTATCTTAACACCGAGTACATTATTTCTCTGTACAAGCACTTCCTTATTCAATCATCTCCTTAATGCGTTTAGGGTAACTTCCTGAGTCATTTTTGTTTAGACATTTTGGTCTTTCCCCCTCTGAATCAGTCAACATCAACAACGACATAAATAAACATAATTGCGTCAAAAAAAAAAAAAGAGAAAAAGATGAGACAGGATCGTTATACTGGAGCCAGCGATCCGTGTCCCGCACATCTCTGATTGGGCGCGTTCCTCCTCTCAGCTCGTGTAAACCCAACTTTTTTGTAACATTTCTTTTTTCTCCCATTTCTCTTTTTTTTTTAGCTGGTTGGCTCGACTCTAAGGTCCTGCCGCCTGAAGGCACAGGGACGCCAGTACTCCCGAACGTGGAGCGTAACAGACTTTTATTTGGGGGGGGCGATGACCTCAGTTTAACGCTTTCGGTTGAAATCCCGACACGAAGCAGCAGCTGGTGGGCGGTCCCGTCGGCTGGAGCCGGCGCCGACGGGGCGTGGGCAAATGGCAGTCGAGTGCTGTGAGGGACTTGGGACCATCTTTGTGAAATAGGACTCGTCACGTGTGTGCGTCTCCGGGAGAGTCGGAGCTTGGAAGCACACGTGAACAACGTGGAAAAACAAGCCCACGCGGCTCAGCGGCTAACAACCATCTACGGCTTCGCAATCGTCTACGAGACAATCTCCTTTTGAAGGCCCGCGGCGCCCAGCCCCCCGGGCGGGTCATTTACTTGCTTGGAAAGGGGCCTGCTCGGGTTTCGTTCGCTCTGGGTGAGCGTTTTCCTCTGGTGTGGGGGATCTTCCGGTAGCAGCGGTCCGTCGCCGGGCGGGTTTGACACATGACTGTACAGGAGTGCCTCTCAGGCACTTTGGTCAGAGTGGACGGCGTGTTTTTACATCTCTTACAACCGTTTTACGTTCTCCGTTGCTCGTTCTGTCGACTGAAAAACTCTAAAGTGAAATGTGGCTTCGGACTAGCTCTGGCTTGTGCGTTTGTCTGGTGGGGAATCGTTTACGGATACAGTGGTTGTGGTTGGAGTGGAGAAGGGGTCGGGGCGCAGACGAGCTACTTCCTCCCGTACATCCTCTCGATGTGGTGCAGATAGTGGTTCTTCAGCTCTTTCCTCTTCAGCTTAAAGGCGTCTGTGACCAGCCCCGTCTCGGGGGTCCACGGCTCTGGACTCAGGTGGACCTTGATTGGAATCTCAAACCGCTGGAGTTTAACTGTATTGGGGGGAAAAAGGGTGAGAGGTGGAGTTAGGCTACGACGGGACAGAGGAGGTGACACACGTCTTCCCGTCGTGGTGGGCTCTTACTCTTAGAGGCCACGTCCTTTATTTCCCTGAGGACCTCCTTTTCCATGTCGGGGTGAGTGCAGATCTCCTCCCACATTCCCACGATGCCCCTCTGCTCGGCCAGCTCCGTCAGCCTCTTCTGGTTGGGAACCACGAAGCTGATCACGTAGTTCTGCTCACTGAAGGGAAAAAAAAAAAAAAAAGACAGGTGACAAATGTTCATGGGAGCTTTGTGGGACAGTAAAAGCGGGAAGGCGAGCCGGCGATGCGTTCAGGGGCGGTGGGATGATGCCGTTCTGGCTGAATGTACTTTCAATGGGTCCCGCCAGAACGTATGGTTTGTGTGGTGTCTGGATAAAACCCGACTCTATGCCCAACTGCAACCCACTCACCTGTTTGCGTAGGCGCAAATGTTGTCTATGAGCGGGCAGTTCTTCAGAGCGGACTCCACTTTACCCAGGGACACGTACTCCCCGGCCTGCAGCTTGACCAGGTCCTTCTTGCGGTCTGAAGTAAGAGGATAAAAATAAAATAAAAAACATAAAAAGGGGGCTGCACAGCATGTCCGTGTGGAACAGTGGGCTAAGCACGTACCGACTATCTGCAGGCAGCCGTCCGGGTGGACCTCTCCTATGTCTCCGGTGCAGAACCAGCGCTGACCGCTCTCGTCCTCGAAGAAGTCCTGGTCCTTGCTCTCGTTCCTGTAGTAACCCATGGTGACGTTGGGCCCGCCGATCAGGATCTCCCCTCTGGGGTTCGGCGAGTCTTTGCTGGTGTAACCACCTGAGAAACCGCAGCGCCGTCAGCAGGCGTCCGTGCACCGGGTGTGTGTGTGTGTGTGTTTGTGGGGGGGGGGGGCAGGTCCAGAGCGCGTTCTGGGTCTTACCTTCGGCCCAGTCCCGGAGTCGGATCTCGCAGCAAATCAGAGGAGCTCCGACCCGACCCGTGCTGATATCAGCGACTGGAAAAGCAAACGGCTGGTAAGTTTTTTTTTTTTAATCTAATCTAATCTTTCTAAGCACAAGCCGTGATGCACATGCTGTTCGTTCGAACCCACAAACGCACACAACCAAACACAAAGGAAAGCTCAGCAAGAACTTCGCATTACACACTGAACGTGACCAAGTGATATCTGGTTTGAATTATGGGTCTCTGCCAGGACTGAACCCTTCTGCTGGGGCTGTGCAGTGATAACACAGAAGTGTGTGTAGGGCTGCTCACCAAACTGCTGAAGGAGTTTGATAAAAACCTCTACAAGGAGCACTTCATGTGTCAGTTTTTTTTCAAAAGTCTGATCCCCTCATTTGACCACTTTTCCATGCAGATACATGTTAGGATTTGTCTGTATGTAGGGTCTCTTCAGTATCCAATGACACAATAATAATCCCAGTCAAGGATTTCCACATATTGGAGATACACATTTATCAAAGAGTCTCACCCCCGGCAATTGGCAAGGAGCATGTATTTTTTCATGCATTCTCCTGCTTCCTCTTCAAAGGAAAAACACCCCGTGATGTAACCTCTCTACGGTCTTATTTTGTTAAATGAGACTCGTAAATGGCTCCGTACCTTCTGTGATGGTGCCGGCTCCGCAGGTCTCGGTGAGACCGTAGCCCTGGCCCACGGGGCAGCAGAAGCACACGTTCATGAAGCGCTGGGTGGCTGAGGACAGCGGGGCCCCGCCGGACAGCATCATCCTCACCCGCCCACCCAACAGCTTCTTCACCTTCCGGAACAGCAAGCTGGAAAAAAGGGAAAAAAAGGAAAAGAAAAAGCAGATGTTGGTCTGATTGGTCAGATTTTTCCAGCTAAAAATAGCCAACTTAGTCACACCGATTGAAAAATGCTTTGTTTTAAAAAAAAAAAAACATGCTTCGTCCTTACGCATTACAGACTGGTGCATCATAGCCCCTCTTGACCTGCTCCAGTTTATATTTGTAGCCCAGCGTAAACAACGTCCTCTGAATGTAACTCATCTCCTGCACTTTGCTCATTACGTTCTTGTTGATTCGATCCATGATTTCCTTTTCAGAGAAAAAAAAAAAAAAGGCAAAACGGCCAACTTAATTTAATGGTAGAGTGACAGTGATGGTTAAAACCAAAACAACAACAACAAAAACAAGGACACAAAGCTCAGGCGGGACTCTTACCGGCACAGCTGCCATCAAGGTGGGGCTCAGCACGCTGCAGTCTCCTTTACTTCCTCTCTTTATCTTGGTGGACTATAGGAAGCAGGAACCAAATAAAAGCCGGTTAAGCCATTGATTCAGCCACCTGTAATGTAACGGTTTTGTTTGCTGTTCCTCACCTGGTCCGACAGGGTTTGAGGCGACGAGTAGCCGATGCGGCAGCCGTATGTGACACAGGAGATTTCAGCTGTCATTTCCAGAACATGAGCCAGGGGCAGATAGGCTATGTAGGTGTCATTAGGCCTGGGGAGCACACAGATGGAAGGAAATGGTTAAAGCCAGCGGGTAGGAGGCCATCCATCAACCCATGATTTGAAATGCACAAAAAAAGAAAAAAAGAAAAGTACCAGCTACTTCCTTCCACCTGAGCAGCTGGCTCAAAGATAGCATTCCAGTATATTCCAATGCCCACATTTGTATGGAAATATCTCGTTATCTTCCAAAGAAAATATATTTATCAGCAGCATTTTTAAAAAGGTCAGACTCACCCGAGGCCGGGGATGCGTTCGCACTGGCCGGTCATTCCGGCGATCAGGTTCTTGTGGACTATCATGACTCCCTTGGGCCGGCCGGTTGAGCCGCTGGTGTACATCACCACGGCCAGGTCGGAGGGCTCGGGCTTCACAAGAGGACTCTCCGCTGTGGGACAGACAAATCAGTCGGCGTCTTATTCTGAGCCGTGTCGAGCGTTACGATCCTGCGGTTGACCGAACGCGCGGCCGGGGGGCTGAGAAATACACACAGTTCTCTGGCAGCGTGCCCAGCTCCCGTACGGCCTGCATGCTGTGGACGGAGAGTCCTGCTGGCCAGCCGTCTGTGCTCACTTTCCTCTGGTCCACGTAGATCACGTGCTTCAGCCTGGAGATCTGTGGCAGCACTCTCTGAAAAGGCAGATTGCGGTCAACTCTAAAAGCTATTTCTGCGTCTTTGTGGTGGAACGTTATCTTTGTTCTTATCATTTTGTAGCAGGAACTGTACCAGAAAGAGCAAGAGACCAGAAAGATTACGGAGGCAACAAATTACTGCTCCGTGTTGCTCTTGGTGGTTTATATACAAATTTACAACTTACTTTCAGTTTGGTCTCGAGCAGCTCGGCGCTGGTTATCAGATGGGTGACCCCGGTCTCGTTCAGGCCGTAGGCTATTGCCTCCTCTCCCAGCGTGGCATAGAAAGTCACCACTGCCCAGAGCAAAGCAGATTTAACATCAAAGCAGGTTACACCTGTGCAGTTTTGAGGAGCAGTTTGGAGGTGGACACCCCGTCATTGACTTACGTGGGAAATTGCGCCTGAAGCACGCCTGGGCAGTGATCATCCACTCGGCTCTGGTTTCACAGAAGATTGCGATTTTGCTTTTGGGCTGCTGGCCGAGAGCTACCAATCCACTGCCGAACTCACTGACGATAGAGTCCACCTCATCGTAGGACAACCATCTGTAGTCCCCCAGGATCAACTAGCAGGAAGAGAGCAAAAATGCAGTTGCAACTTTAAGGAATGGCTTTAATTGAATTTCTCAAAAAGAGCAGCAAAAGTAAAATAGATTTCTTCACCTTTTTAAACACCTTCCCGTTGGGCTGAATTTCGTTGTCCTCACTCAACACGTCTCGTGTGCCCAGACAAGGAGCTTCCCCAAAGCGCTGCACGGCGTGCTTGAACAGCTTGTCCAGGGTGTCTTTGCCCGGGAAGTCTTCTGTGGCCAGAGTCTCAAAGTGGTCGACGGAGCGGTACGGCCCCTCGGGGCGGTCCGAGGTGGAGCGGGCCTTTATCCGTTTGGACAGAAACTTCCTCTGACCGGCTCCCGTGATGTAGTACCAAGGGAGGAAGGACAGGACGGAGTACAGCCATATGAGGAGGTGGACTGGGAAGAGCAAGACGGCCTGGATGGCGGAGTCTGACTGGACCCCCATGACGTTCTCCGGGAGAGGCAGTGAGGCAGCGGTGCTGTGTCGGACGTCTGCAGTGATGTGCACGCTGACAGGTCAACCGGTTCAGACCAGAACGCTCCAACCCCCCCCCAAACACAGCTGCTTGATGTAAATATTTGGCAGGCCGTTTCAGCTAAAGATAACACACAAGACAAGAAAAAAATATCAAGGAAAAGACCACAGGGAACTTAAACAACAAGCAAAGGGACGTTTGCGGCTCAGGTGTAAGAAACGCCACACAGAGCAGCGGTTATTTCACTACGGCTGTGTTGAAAGGAGAAGTTTGAGAGAGGCCACAGCAGTCACATGAAAAGTTTTAAAAAAACTAAAAGAAGAAAAACAATTGCATAAAGAATCGTCAGAACTTGGAGAAACTAATAATAATAACAAACCCTTACATTTTATAATCAGATGACCGGTGCATAACTACACAAATGGCTATCAGAAACTCCTTCCTCTCCAACCCTATCCACCTGTCACTGGCCTCCCTGAACGACAAATGTCATCCAAAAACAGAAGCTCCCTTTCCTTGGGTTTAAACACCTGTCTTCCTTTTTCCATTTACAATAAAATAGCAGGTTATATGGGGGATGAGGGAGTATTGAGGCACTGGCCCCTCTGACCGGGCTGGCTTCTGTCCAATGACCACAGCCCTGTGATTAATGCTGAAGAGGACCGAGCTGGAGACAACCAATGGCAATACTCTTGAGGCTCACCCCACTGGTGGTCAGCGAAAGGCCACTTTAGGGCACACTCAGCTTGTTAAAGACGTCACAGCTCAGGGGAGGCAAAAAGGAGCTTGAGCTGGACAGACCACGCAGAACTTTTGCTTGGCTGTCATCATCTCCTGACTCACACCAATTTAGTGGCACAAACTGCTGAACACGGGAGCAGGAGAAGGTGGACGTTGTGTAATATGCCGTTACAGGTGTGTGCACTCATTAAAAAAACATGATACAAAGCCAAAAAAAACTGGGGAACCTCACAAATTCACTGGCATTTACTGGGATACGTCAAATATCTAAGGAAGCAAAATTGCATAATCGACACTCCCCTGTCTTTAGTACAAACACTAAGGTGTGATTACATTTCTGTGATTCACATTTCCCCATGTACGTCAGCACGCCTTCGTACCATCTACGTTGAGGGGGAAAAAGGGATCAGTCACTCCTAAAGAATGCAAGCAACAGTTGGGATAGAAGCGTTTGAACGCAACGCTGTTCGTGTAGGCGCTTGTTTAATGGTTTACGTTGAATGCAACCAGCGTTGACGGAAGAGAGAGAGAGAGAGAATATTTTGCAATGGCGGCATGAGGCGACTTCCGAATTACAATGCACCTGTGGAGCCAGTGTCCACGTCAGAGCAGGTTTTCCAACGCAGCCTGCGCCCGGAGCAGAGGATTCAAATTAATTCGTTTGCAAAACGGTCGCGTGCGGGCTTCCAGTCAAATTATCTACGGGGCCGAAACAGTTACAGCCGTCACCGACATCGAAAAAGAGATTTTTTTTGTTTGTTTGTTGTTCTTGTCATTTTTCAATGCCGAATCTCTTTTTCGAGGTCCCTGTAAAGTGTTGCTGTTTCAGAGCCGTAGATTATCGCTCTCCGATAGGCTCGACCTGATAGTGCGCGCGGGTCTACGTAGCTAACGAGCGCGCGTGAACGAACCGTTTCCATGGCCGTGAGCAGAACCTGTTAGAACATCGAAAAAGGTAAAAATAAAAAAAAAAAAAAAAAACACCGCCACATTTTTATGACAGGAGAATTGCCAGTAAGCCATGAACGGTTGTTAAATTGAACACACCACCTTTCGAGCCTAAGCAAAAAACGTCATATAAACAAAAGCCCACTAAATGTGAATGTTCCAGAAGTGTCCCCCACCCTCACTGAGACCCCATGAAAACACGAAGACGTCGGTGTTCTAACGATGGGTGAAGAGCGGGATGCAAGGCGAAGGGATGATGACAAAAGCCGCACGCTGCTAACGCCACTGTGCAACAAAAAAAAATCAAGTTGTTAGCCGCCAAGGCTGTGCCTTAAACCTGTTCACTGTTGCCCGTACAAATTAACCCTCATTTAAATCAATTAACGGATAAGGCAGTAATAAGATTAGAGATTGAGCCAGAGAGTGATACCCTGCTTATCTGGCCGGCTCGTGGCATTCTTACCTTCAGTGGCTGATCAGTCCAGCCGGCTGCGTCTCAAACCAGAAATGACCGAAAGTTACCTCCTGAGCGGCCCTACAAACCCGGAACTCTACGTCATCTGATTCCACGTTTTTCGACCAATGGGAAGCAAAGCGAAATTGTCCTCGTTTCCCCCATCGCTTCTCTTACGTCTTATGGTGATAAATATAACAGGATTTTAGCGATGCCTCCGTCAGATGTTATCGACAGGATGTGGTCTTTCATAGTTGGATTTTTTATTCGTGTCACTGACACCATATAAGCTAAAAGAAAGCTTTTATTACAGAATTTCTTTCAATTAAAAAAATAAAGTCATAGCCCTTATGATATGACCACACTCCGTTTGTCAGCTTCCGTTTCTTTGGGCCTGATTCACAGCTAAAACAAATTGCTTGCTCCTGACTTGGTATTTATAATAGAATTTTTTATGTTAACATTTTTTTCAGTATAATTGCAAACTCTCCTTATTCTGTGTAATATTTCCTGACAATATTTGATCTCCTTATAATTCAGGTTTATAGGATGGTTTATAAGATGTTTTAGATTTTACAATATGTACTGGTGTTCAAACTGGAACCTTCAGGTTTGCTGAATATATTAGGCAACAAACCAAGCAAATGGATAACACCCTTCAACTCTTGCAAATACATGGATTAACTGTACTTTTAAGGAATGTACAGTCAGAGACACACATTTTCCGTTCAAAGCCAATTTACACATACGTTTCCGTGTAGTGGGATTAAATGTTGTTTTATGAGATAAACCTGTTCTAAAGTTGCTTTTTTATTATCACAGTATGAACATGATTATTTTCTTTGTAACCATAAATATGGGGTTCGGACGTGTTTCAATCAATGTCGCCCTCAAGTGGTTGGATGCTGGAGATACTTCGGTATTAGAATATACCAAATTAATTAAAATTTCAGTACGAATGTCCTGAAGCATGATCAAAATAAATTAAAAATCTTTATTTGTTTATGACTGTATGGATACATATAAAAATAACTATACTCGGTGGATTTAAATACTCTAAGAGTTCTTTGTCTATTGACATTCCTTTAGGCCAGTGGACAGTGTGTACACTAACAATATTAGGTGTGTCCGTTGCATACTGTTTTGAACACAATGGCGTGTTCATGCCCGGGGTTTACACGCACACGAGAAAGAAAAATCACCAACGTAAATGTTCACACAAAAAAGGGAAATAATGACATTTTAGGGAAGTTAGGATTACGAAAAAAACCCAAAGTTTAAATACTAGCCCACTGATATGAGAATGAGATAAATATACGCATAAATATTAGACATTCTAGTATATTTCTATTATATTCTAGTTTTAAAGTTTGGCGCTTGTGCTTCTATGACAGATCAAAAGTGATAATTGGGAGTGCGTGAGAAACGTGCATCCCGTGGTCAGCCCACAGATCCGACAGGGGGCAGCGTTATCCAGAGACAGACCTGAGCTGAGGTGCGTTTGGTTTTAGAGCCAGATAATCTTTCAACTGTTGTTTGCTCAACTCCTATGTTTACCACATATTTTCCGTTTAATTCTAATACATATGCCACATAATTCTGCAAAAAAACAGGCTTATCACTGATCCTCCATATTACATGTTAAAATTCCTTTGTTTCATTTGTAGGTATCTTTAGTGAAGCGAGGAACGCTGAAAAAACACGTTAGACAGTGAAAATAATTTTGGAATAATGGTTGGACATTTTATTCAGTTTGTATTACCTATTCTCTTAAATTAACCTATCATCATTGTATGCCGTGGTATTTTATTCTTAAACCTATGGGTAAACGATAACTTCAGTCGGATGGCTTCGGGCATAACTGCCCCGCCACTGCTATCTCCGCCCGAGCGGCCTGCCTCTGAGGATAAAAACATTTGCATCAGCCATAACTGTTGCCCCACGTGTCACAGCGCTGCTGCACAAAAACATCACGGGTGGCGCTTGCAGCTGTGTGTGCTACTGCCTCAGCACATGGTAGCTTTTGGAAGGCGTTTGTAAAGACCAACAAACACTCGGGTTCGAACACCGTGCTTGTTTTGACGCTATTTTTGAAGCTTAACTAGCTTAACTTTGGACTTCGATAGCAGTCTGTCCGTGTGCGAGGCCTCTCTCCGTCCACTTGGGACAGCCACGTCAAAAGCGAAAATGTCGACCGGGACAAAACAAGTGAAAAGCTGCCCTATCCCGACCAAAGTCCTGACCCTGAAGGACTGGTCTCAGCTGCCCGACTGCTACAGCCAGACGCCCGGGGGGACTCTCTTTTCCACCACGCCTGGAGGTAACAACATTTTGAAAAAACCCTGTTTATATACACTTGACTGTTTTAAAAAAAAAAAAACCTCTTGTAATCATTTTCTGATATGTATCTGCGTGTAAACAGTCTCAAGTTGACCGATAAGGTCTCGCGTGGACGAACACAAACCAGGCAGCGGAAGAATGCGACGGCCACGGAATGCTGTCGTTATCGCTTTCCTTTATCGCTGTTGTCAACTAAGTTGCGCGACACAAGGCACACGACTCGATAAATGTGTAGGAAAGTGCGTTTCCTCATTTCCCAGTGACTGTTGTCAACATGTGCTCAAGTGAACGCTTCCTCTTCCACGCGTCGTTTAAAAAGAAAAGTACTTTGACATCACAAAGTGGATTCCTCCACAGCAGTGTGTATTTTGTTTAGTGAGACATATTGTTTGAATAGCTGAGTACTTAAAACGGCATTGCCACTATATTTTTGCTCGAAGTGATTTAAAAAAAAAAAAAAAAAAAAAAAAAAAGTTTTTCCTCAAACTTTTTTTGGGGGGGTCCACGTGATGAATGCGAAGGACTTGACGCATATATTTTGGTGTAATAAGCCACCAACTGCTACATCACAACCGTTCTGAGGCCAGCAGCACCCTCAAACCCGTGACTTGGAGAGGGCGTGCGCGTGGGGCCGCCAGAACAGCGCTGTGATTGGACAGTGCTTTGATGGTGGCGTTGGAGGCCGTCCTATCCCCTGCACTCTGCTTCGAGTTTGGGGAACTGTAAAGAACATTCTGTACAATATAAAACTGACAGGGAGGGGGGAATTCATATTTGGTTTGTGTGTAGGGGGGTCTTGGTTATTGTGATGGCCCCAAAAGACTGGTAAGGTGTCGGGGAATTGCCATATTGGTTGTCTTACTTTGGGGTCAGAGTAGGTGTTTCTGGACTGGCCCCATGGCTGTGTTGTTGCATAAACCCTCTGCACAGTAACCCTACCTCACAATGCTGTGATTGCCCCATATGTTGCATTCCAGCCCCCTTTCCCCACCCAGCTTCTTCAATAATTCCCCCCCCCCCTCCACCCACCCACCCAGCTCCTCTGCTTCCCCTTTTGTTCAGGGTGAACTTTTCGAAACCCTTTCATTATGCAACATGTTTTTCCTTTTCCCCTGTAGATGGGCTGAACTGCCACCGTATGTGGAGTTCAAACTCCAGTAAAGTATATCATGAGCAACAGACCACTCCCGATTCATGTCCTCATGCTTTTTCCACAAGTCGTTTACGACTCTGTTTTTGCCCGGCTTTGGTTTGAGTTGAAATTTGCAACGTGCAAAAGACCTGCCCGTGACTCGGTCGTACGGCAGGATCGTACACAGGGAATTATCTGATGTATATTCACGTGACGCTTTGTGGGCATAGAAAAGAAACGACTGTGGTTTTATGCGTTTGAATGCAAGCTAAAACAAACTCAAGTCTTAAGCTCGCCCTTTGCACAGCCCAAGTAATCCTGAAAGGGACTGGCGAGTGCGCTGGTTTCCAGGAATTATTTCCTTTGGCAGTCCTCCACCTTAAAAAAAAAAAAAAAAGAAACAAAAAAAATCCTTTCCAGGAGTGTAATGATGCTGAGCTCCCCACCACCCCTGGTGCAGGGGCTCCTGTACTGCGCCTGTAAAAGGATTTGGTTCGTTTAAAAAAAAATTTTTTAATTTAAATCCCATCCCACACAGGTACTCGCATCATCTATGACAGGAAGTTTCTCCTGGACTGCCGAAACTCTCCCCTTGCCCGCACCCCCCCGTGCTGTCTGCCTCAGATTCCTGGGGTCACGGTACCTGCCACACACCCCATAGGGAAGCTGCAGGACCTCAAAGAGGAGGAAGAGAAGGATATTGCAGGTAAATGCATCTGTTTTAGTTCTAGTTTTTAGACCTGGCAATCTGTAATGGTGTAATGTCAAACAAGTTTGTAGTTAATCCAAAATATAATGTCTTAAGATATAAGGATAAGTCTTTATTTATTTATTGCCAGTTAGCCTACTATTGTCTCTGTTTTTAAAAATGGATTGCAGATGGAACCCTCCCCCACAGTGGTAAGGGTGTTGGTTGTCCACTTGCTGTGGTCCGTTAAGGTGTGGCTGCGCTTGTGTTGAAAAGCTGAAAGTCAACCCCAAGCTCTTTTTAACTTTTTGCCGCTCTCTCTTCAACAGATGACAGCCAGTTTGAGATGGACATCTGAACTCCAAGTTACCTCCTGTGGAGAGTTTTTGGTTCGACGCCTTAAAGGTCATTAATGACTGTAATGCATTAACTATAAAGTTTTGTTTGTTATTTCAATAAGTTCTTGTGAGGAACCAGAATTTGGGTCTGTAAGGGATTGTAGGGTGTATTGCACCCTATTTAAACAAGAAAAGTCTTGGACAATGAGATGGTTTTGATTGCATTACGTTAGGTCGATGGGTTGCTCGCTCACTTTAAAGCTCAACACAATCGAAAAGACAAATCCCTTTTTTTGATTTTGCCTTTTTTTTTATCTACTGTAAATAAACTTGTACTATATAGCTTTTTTTTTAAGTTGGGGCAGATGATTACATTAATACATGTATAGATGGGGGTTCGATGCATGCGTCAGTTTTCCTTTGATCACCCCAAAAAGGAAGCTAATTCTCTTTGTACAGGCAAATTGGAGTCTCCTTGTATTTGGGGTGGGGGGTGGGGTATCAGGGGCCTGATAATTAAGCTCTTATTTGGTTTTGTATGAAGGGAGTGAAGAGATGTGAAAATTTCAAATAAAGGCTGTGAACTGCCACCATTTGTTTTGTTTGTTTTTTTTAGTTTATCTCTGTTCTTGGCAGAAACAATGGCTTCTACCAGTGACGTAACGCTGGGCCTTTATCTTATCATGAATATGCACTGTGTCCTAACGAGCATGTTGTTGGAGTGTCTGCTCTCTGTGACACACACGTTAGGAACAGTTTTATCATTAAATGCTGACATTTTTAATGACGGATGATGTCACTGCGTACTATATCTAAACCGGTGGCAAGTGCTCGGTACAGCCAAGTGGAAAGGCTGCTACACGTGAACTGTGTCTGATGGAATGGAAAAGAATGTGGTCTCAGAATCCTACATGTAGAGCAGTTCATGAATGAGCCATGTCATATGTGAAATAGTTTAAATTCTATAGACTTCATTTTGCAGTGACTGTTGGGTCAACTTGTGACAAACCTACTAAAACACTTGTGTGCATCTGTTGAGTCTAAAACATCAGAGCTCCTTTTTACATAAAGCTCATTCACATCTTACAAGAGGCATAGAAAGTGATTCGGATTTGTAGCGAGTAAAAGGAAATGGCAGAGGAGCTCCTGACTGCTCAGATCCCTGGGCTTTGTGCGGTGAATTCCCCTTTTCGCTGTGCCTGCTGGCCTGCTCCGTATCTCTGGATTATGGAGGCTAACGTCCGGGAGGAGTGTGAACAGCTGCAGCCTGCAGACCAGACATAGCGAGACCGAAATGCAACGTGGGTGTGGCCAGCTCATCTTTGACCAGTTGTGTCAAATATGCAGCTGAAGGTTTATGTAACGTTATTGGCACACAAATGTTTGCCTCAGATTTTTATGAGTCCCCAGATCGAAGTTTAGACCTAGATAATGTCTGGGTACGTCCTGAGTGCGCTAGGAGGAGATAAGCATCTATCTCTATCATTTGGGGCTTGTGATGTAGGTCAGTCTGTGCAGCTGTTCCTGTCGGAAGGACCTGACTACCAACCAGAGCCAACAACCTTACATCCGCCATTTGAACGTCAACATGCTTTCCTTCTGCTACGTAATAAGAATCTGCTGTTCTTTAATCACACATCACCGCAGCTGGCTTCGTCCTGGGTTACTCTGCACTAACAGCGTCCAGGAAATGGAATACTTGGCTCATGTGCTGGGTGATAAGTCTTTTTGTGTGCTCCTTCTTTTCCGCACATGAGAGCAATTTCATGTGAGGAAAAAGGACAATGGTTTCCAGGGAATTCCTCTTTGCTTGTGGATAAAAGAAAGTGCGAACGCTGCTAGACAGAACTCCACAGACTCCATGTGCACATACGCGTAAACATCCTAACGCTTGAAACACAGTCGAAAATAGGGGGCTCAGTCCAAGGTTTGACTTCGCAGAAAAGCCCATCAATCTGTCCTTTGTCTCTACCTCGTATTCCTAGTAGGAAGCCGGAGCCTGCTGTGATTGGGCGAGAGGCGGGATACTCCCTGAGCAGGTCGTCAGTCCATTGCAGGGCCACATGGAAACAAACAACCACACACACACACACACACTCGCTGCTAGGAGTTAACCTAACAGACCAAGCCTGTTTTTGGACTGTGTGAGGAAGCCAGAGTACCCAGACAGAACATGCTAACTCACACAAAAAGGCCCCAGGGATTCAAACCGGGAACCCTCTTTTTGTGAAGCAATGGTGTTAACCACCACCTCACCACGCATCCTAATCAGAGTATTAATAATAAGAAAATTAATCTGGTCTGTGGAAGGCTTTAACATTAGGTGGGTGCACTTATCTTAACACATCTGAGAAAGCATGCATTGCTAAATCTAAGCCTGTATTGACACAACCCAAACGGGAAAAACGACTTTACTGGAGCAGCTGTTGTCTTGCATCACTCTGGGAAGTAGTAATATGACAATTTCCAAACATTTTCACTAATGATTTCCCATATTATTCACAAACGGGAAGCAGCCGAGACAGTGAGCAGTCTACATCTCCAGCAAAGTCACCCAAAAGATTTACCCAAGAGTTCTCCAGCGTTAGCTCATAGATTGTGAAAATTCATGACTGTACAGTTCCAGGAGAAGACCGAACAAGGCTTGTTTGGAGCATTTTACAGGAGAAAGCCTCCTCTCTGTAAAAGTAACACAGAAGCAAGTTTTAGAAATGCAATCTGCATTTGACCAAGCCATAGCTGGTACTTATGCATAGAATCATATCTGGTGATATTAAAACATGGGGTGTCTCTGTCTATCTTCAAGAAACTATTCAGACATAGCTCTTCAGAGCATCTCCTACCCTACCCCTGACCCTTTACCTCCTCCACGCCCACTACTACTTTTTCTGTACTTCCCTCTGTCCCTACACTGTCATCACTGTTACCTCTGACGTAGTCTGACTAGTGATTTTCTTCTGTGTTGCTTATTCTCAGGTTGACACCACCTGTTATGTTGCACCTGAATTTTAAGTCGCTTTGGATAAAAGCATGCGCTAAATGCACAGACAGTAACCGCATCAGCACCGTGCAGTCACTGAGAGGCCCATGTAGACATTTGTGTACCATTCTGGAGCCAAATATGAAGCCACTCTTTTGTAATATAACCCTTCACTGAAATGGGATCATACAATTAAACAATGGTGCTAAACACACAAGCTCATCTTCAACAAAATGATCCAGTCAAAGCCTAGTCTGCTGCGTTACAGAAATACTGTTTTGTGGGAAGGTCGGAAGTAAGAAAATTTGATTCTAAGTGGTCAACAAATCAAATCGCCTAATTATAATGCGATGCCACTCTTAAACTGGAACATAAACTGTCAATCTCATCTGCACAGACTTAATTTTTTGTGCATTTATTTGTCATGGGCCAAGCGTTGTTGTGGCACAGCAGCTGCAAAATACAGGCAACAGCGGGAGGGCCTCAGCTCGGATATTTGTCGCTGTGCACATGACAAAGATACATGAGCCTGTCAGTAACTCCTTGGACAAGGTGTAAATCATGAGAGTGGCTACAAACAGCGATCTTTACATTTTTATGTATCGATCTTCTTTGTGTAGAATAACAAATGTTGCCGAATTGAAAAGAGCCAATAAAGATTATGTAGATAAAGAAAACACAAGTCAAATTCAAAGACAGAAGGTAAATAATAAAGTTATGGAAACTTCTCCTATCATTTCTTGCTGGTCAAATCTTGAAAAGCTTTTTTTGAATCCCTGTTTTGGAAAATGTCCCCCGTACACTACTGTAAACAAAACTGTAAATGACCATTCCTTCCCTCCCTCTGAGTGTAACAGAACCCTCTTCAACTCGTGTTCCTCTGTCAGGGGGTTGGGTAAAGTCGGGGTTAGTGGATGTGGCTCTATTTTTGTCGGCTGCCCCTCATTGAAGCTGATGGAAGGGGCTCAGAAAATTTTTTTACCAGGGCAACGCTGTAAACAGACACTTGAACGCACAGCCGGTTTCGTGACATTTGTCATGGCAAAGAGGGGAATGGGGTCATGTTTGATTCATACTGTAAACGAATCAAACAGATCTAAAAACAAACAGTTTGTCCTACTTTGAAATTAACGTTTGAAGAAAATGACGGTGAAGAGATGTCCTGTTAAAACTAGCATTGGGTTGACAGGCATTCGTCCGGAAAAAGGTTGACGTTTACTTTCCTGTTGTGTTTGCGGCTATACTAATGAGAACATTGTGAGAGCAGTCTGTTAAAAGCTCTTGCCAGTTTATTGCTTAATGTGCCTCCAGAACCTCTCACCAGCCTCTTTCCCATGCATAACGTTACTCTAGAGAGCATCACATGGTAGAGATACGCTGCAGGTCAGGTTTTTGATTTTTAGACGTACGACTGGCCTGTACAAGTCACGTATTGCAAACAGTCATTGTGCAATACTGAGCAAAAGCTACAGTGCTTCCTTTTATGACTTTTATGACACTTACTGCGATGTTAAGCAACAAATTTCTGTCAAGCTTTCCCTCCACGTAACGCATATAAAGTAGTAGTCTGATATGCAACTCATCTCATATGAGTGAATACTTTACATGAGAATGCATGTATGTGCATGTGTGGTTTAATGTCTTGTGAGCTTTCCAGAACTAGAGTCCTGATAAACATTTGCTTTAACTGTGACTATGAAATTGGCTACTTCACTGTAAACAGTATATCCTAAATGGCGAGACATAGTATTATAACCTTTAAACCTAAGAAAAACTCAAAATAGGGGGTTATAAGGTCTTTTGGTTGTATAATAAATAAACACTTTATTTCAAAGAAAATAGTCCAATATAGATAAGCAAGTGTTGTTAAAAGTTAAACAAAAAAAGAGAAACAGGATACAGATGTTGAGCAACTTCTGAGTTGAAGACAAAACAACTCTAAACTGGGTCAAGAGTGACATCTGCTGGGGAAATATAAGTAGTGCTCTCTATAAACGTCGTTTCATGGTGGAAAAAAAGTACAGATGAGTTATTAAACTAAAAAAAGTCAGTTTACATTACAGATGTGTTTGGTAACATTTAAATCAGATTACTATTCACATAATTCTCAAACCGAAACATGGCAATCGTCACAAATTGTCAATGATTAACATTTATCAGCCACTTATCTAAGCTATTGTGCTCGATTCGTCACTGACCGATGTTGGCCTGATTAATCTTTTAGCAAGTCAAATGATCAGTAGTCATTCTTTTTCCCTGACGCTCCCTTTGCTCATCGCTCCAGCTTATGATTGGACGCCGCGGCTAACGGACGCAGAAGCAACCAATCCTGTCCATCGTTGCTAACGGGCCCTCCCCCGTGGTCTACCCCTCATATTACGTCACGTCCAGCTCATACGCACTGACTTCTGGAGGGGGGTCGCTAATTGCGGTACGAAAATAGTGGAAAAACAGAATACACGCAGAGTTTTTCTGTGAGGCTGACGTCGCCGAGGTTGAAATACGTCTGGATACTATTTGTTTTAAGGTAAGTGTTTGAGTTCGTCCGTTGAAACGAGTGTTTTTTGTGTGCGCGAGCCTAGTCATTATGAACTTGCGGGGCTGGGAAACTGAGCAGCGATGGTCTACGGCCTGCAGGTGCCTCGTCTTTTGGCCTTAAATTCGTAGTTCTACGTTTCTTGTTAATCGTGTTGAGAGCCTTTCCTAATTCGAACGCCTCCTGGAAAAATACATCTGTAGCTTACACATCTGTAAATTAGCTTCACATTGTAAAGAAAAGCAATAAGAAAGAAGAAAAAAGAGCTTATATTAAACTGATGTTAGCATAAAACGTGTGAGGATGATATGTACAGTTCCGGTGTCCGTTGTGTTGTTTTTGTTTTATCTGTTTGTGTGGGATACATTGGTTATTATTCTTTGTAATTAGGCCCAAAGGAGTGTCATTGATAAACAGCCTCCGTCTCCAGCGGCGTTCAGAGAAAAAATGAAACGCCTTGCTTTGTCTTGAGGACTGCTATGGAAGTCTATTGTGAAAGATTTCAAGGTTTAACTTTACAAGGTTTACAAGGTTTTACATTACCATCAGTATCCTACTGGTCGATTACACATATTTAATTTTTTTGGGTTAAACCAAAAAACAATGGCGCTTTGTTTTTAACAAAATAAATCCTTTTTTTTTTTTTTAAAGCTCATGTTTCTGTTTAAGATGTCGAGGCTTATATTAAGGCCGGGGTTTTCTAAGTATTCTTATCTAACATTTTGATATGGCGTTCACCCAGTTTACTGTTTTAATAATAAACTGTTGATACTGGCATTCTGACAAGAGATATTTAAGTGAACTGACTGTGCCCTGTTTATATTTTTGGTGGTAAAAACAATTTGAGGAGATTGATATGGATTTCGTATACTTACCAGATGTGAGTTGGACTGTTCATGTGTTTTGGTGATATTATCGATGTGATAATGTTGTGAAAACATGGTCTTAGCTCACCTTGTTATTTGTGCTGTTGAGCAGTGGAAACACAAATTGTATGCATGCAAATGATTATACAGGTAGCAACACAGCACAGATACACACACTCGGCATACTCGTGTTTTGAGAATCGTCACACTAACTAGATATCTTAGAGATTGATATGAGCACAGTGAAAAGTCTGACTTTGATTCTCCTGGCAGTCATCTTCCTGTGTGTTTGAGTGCTCATTTGAAGAAATCCTTAAAAATAGGATCTTCTCAAATGTGTCTGCTGGTCTGTTCATGTATTCACTGAAGAAGAAAACTAGCTCTCAATTAATTTAATCCGAGATCCCTTTTCTAGCACTGGAAAGTGTTTGATGACGCGGACGTTTGCGAGAGTTAACTCTTGGGTCCAAGTACTGTGAGAGCTGACCAACTGGTATGGTCAGAAACAAAGATCAGGGATGCCTCTGTTGCCATAGTCGCTGTGGCTTGGCCATCTGTTCGTGGCATCATTAACAAGGAAGTGCACCGGTCATAGAAACTGGTTGGTGCTTTAACATCTGAGTTTTCTCTATTTCCTTCCTGCTCTCACTGTGCAAGTTTCACATGGATTATTTTTTAGAATGCCATCAAAGAAATAAGCTGTTATTACACTTTGAAACCAGTATAGTTTTATTAGACGTTCCAAATCTGATAAAGAATAGATTGCATGTGTATCGCATCATCACTAAGTACCATTATCACCTGTAGATAAATGATTACAAAGCTCTCCTAACTTGTGCTGTCTCAACATAAGCATTTGATTTGGTTTCACCTCGCAGAGCAACAACACTTTGCATAACTCAGGTTGCAGGCATTTGCCTTTGAGAATAGTAGTTGCTATAGAGGAAGAGCAAAAAGGATTGTTTACAGTGCATATACGAAGCAACAGAGAAACAATGGGAGGGCGGATGAAGCTGCACTTCTCTGCATCGCTCTTTTTCCATTGCTGTTGCTGTTGTGCTTGTGCAAATAAATTGAAGCCGAGCATGGTGCTTTATGGAGGGCCCAGACCTACCCCATCACAGGCCTTTAAGAGCTGCTGGGGCATGGAAGTCCCTCACACAAGGTTTTAATTGGAACATATAAACTTTAGGTCCTAAGCTAATCACAAAAATGTGTCCTACTTTCAGTATGGGTTAAATATTGAAACAGTACCTGGAAGTAGGCTTTCTTTCTATTTTAAGCCGCTCAAACCACTCACGGCATGAATGTGTGATCTAGTATGACCTTTCACATTTGTGTGTGAAGGAAAAGAGTGAGAGTACGACCAGTGCAGGCTTGTGCGCTCACAGTGATCGTCTGCTTCCCTTCCTCGTGGTACTTCTCATTTACTGACCACTGAATTGTGACACGCTTCTGCCATCGTGAAAATAACGTGGTGTTCTTGTCTTTATCCTGTTTTTCACCCGAGATTCTGTAGGGGGATAACATGTCAGGAGACAGGAACAGGGTTTAAGAGTAGCTCATAATAAAATGTGTATTTTACTGTCGTGGGAAACAATTCAATCATTTTTATGCTCTCCTGAAAATGGAGTGATATCTTATCTGGACAGCAGGGAAATCAGTACTTTAAAATGACCCTGGAGGTTACCTAACCTTACAGGCAAAAGTTTAATCACATTATTTGCAGTAACATTCAGCTCTCCCTTCAACTATTTTGAAGTCTTAAATCACCTTTACAGCATTTCTATAGCAAAACATGGATGAAAATGTAATATTTGACTAACTTCTCATTTATTGTCATGTATTTTCAATCTGTTCCTTTTCCATACTGAAGTAGTCTTTACTTATAGCATCACTCTTGTTTTCTTTCATTTTAAAGGGATCCTAAAGCCTAAAGATGAACTTTGAGCAGCCCCCACCCTACCCAGGAAATGGTCCATCTGCTCCCGGCTACCCAGCCCAGGGCCCCCCTCCCCAAGGCTTCCCGGCTCAGGGCTACCCTCCACAGGGCTACCCCGTGAACATGGAGCAGCCCAATCCAGCTTACCCCAACTACCCTGCTGGACCAATGGGCCCCGGAGGTCCTTATCCAGGACAAGGACAGCCTGGTTATGGATACCCTGGACAACCACAGTTTGGCTGGCAAGGGGGACCCCCTCCTGGGCCTATGTATGGGGAGGCTCCCAAAAACACAGGTGAGTGGACATGCACATCAGATAATATTTGTACTATTCGCGGGTTACCTGAACCTGCCCCTGGATGACCGTCTGTGTGACCAGCAGAGCTCACTTTATTTATTTAGGCATCAAATGTTTCAGTGGACAAACATCAGTTAGCAACAGTAGTCGAAAACCTATAGTTGATGCCTTTTTCCACTCTGTCCTCTTGTCGTCTAATGTTTTTCCACTCCACGCAGGAAATCATTACTGTGAATGCAGGAAAATCGCTTCACTTCCTTTTGCTACTTAACAATATTTAGGGCTTCTTATTCATTGCTTCGTTTGAATTAAACGACTATGACGTAATTGATTGTTTCAGCTTCGATCTGCTGAGGTGCGACACGACATCCATGTCGACACAGCTAACCTCTTAGTCAGGGCTGTGTTCTGACGTAATGAACATATGTGACCTACATTAGTAAGTTTTTAATCATTTACCATTTCCCATAAAATGTCTAACTTAAAAATGGGTGTGGGGAGGACGGTCAGTGGTCTGTTGAAGGTTTGCTACATCAATTTTCGGTGGGTATCTGAGAGAGAAAAGCTTGTTTCCTTATAAAGTTTTTTTTAATGTATTGAGTCTACATATAATTTGTCATAGATTTATCTGATTTGCCGTAGATTTATTTGTTTCCGCTGATTATGTGAGCCACAGTTTTCAGGTTCTGTTCATTTGTCATTTTCTCCATTAGTCTATTCAATACTCAGTCGGGGTCCTTGATAAATAATTAATCTATTGAATGTATTCAGCTGCTTAAATCTCTTTAAAAAAGACCCACTGTAGAGGGAATAAAAATATTTAGCATTAGGCTTAAAAATCAGTTTAAAATTAGATTAAATCGGTTTGTTAAGAAGATGGTATTCATAGTTTTGTCACTTAATTTTCAGTTAATGCTTTAGCTCCTGGCCTTTAAAATGGTAAAACTTTTAGTAAAGAGAGCAAGCAATTAAGAGTTCACAAGTGTGAAGTCAAGCTAGATTTAAGATGAAAGGTGTGCTAATTTGGTAGCAACTCCCTACTGAAAATCCACTAAAGTGTAAGACATGCTGTGCAACTTAAGGAGTATCATAAAATATTCTAAATGAATATGCAACGAGAGCAGCTCTTGCTTGTAGGGAGCATAGTTAATACCTTTTTGAATTCCAAAAGGCACCGAGGTGTTACTGCACTTGTAATTAACTTAAGACGCGTTTCTTTCGTCTGATCAAAGCAAAGTGTTTTTCGTTCGAGCTTCTGGCTGTAAGACATTTTAATGGCGACAAAGAGGATCAAACGGGGGGTTGGGGGGGGGGAACAGGCAACATATACGCGTTTTTTGATCATAACACTGGTTGAGGAGCGGTTGGCTTCCTTCATTTTGCCATGCGAGCAGAAGCAAGTCACCTAAGCAACACGCAGCACTGGCTGCTAAAAGCTGGATGAGTGTTTACCTCCACATAAATGATTAATCGCACACAGAACACGCTGCAGCACTCACTCAGACCACGTTTGGCCTGTTATTGTCCTTTGGCTGGAGCAGCTGTCACACCTCATGTCTGGGTAACGGTGGCCTTTCATGTTTCTGACTGGCACCTGTCGACACAGGAGAATTAAAGCCGCCGTGTGACTGAATGTGCCGTCTATGGTGTTGCGAGCTGGGCTGATGTCTGTTGGTGGCTCTTGGCTGCTATGACATTGCCATGGAGACGGGCTCTCCACGGAGAGACATAATCAGAGTGAAGTCATATCAGCCTCGGTGACACTTGAACCCACTGTTGAGGAATATGCCACGTCATTTTAGGAACTCTGCCTCTGTTTTTAAGCATGTTAATTCAATCAAACGGCAACAAAAAAAAAGTTTCAGCATTCTTTTCCTTTGTGCTCTCTCTCACCATTCCAAACTCTCTTGTTCTGCCCCTCTCTGCAGTGTATGTGGTGGAGGACAGGAGGAGGGATGACACAGGAGACACTTGCCTGACAGCCTGCTGGACCGCTTTGTGTTGCTGCTGTCTTTGGGACATGCTCACATAACGCCGTTGCCCTGCTGTTCCCCCCCCCCCCCCTACTACCGCTCTCGCCCCCATTTCAATGCCTTGAAGACGTCACCCCTGTACCTCATCTGCCTTAAACCTCGCACCGCCCTACAACCCGCCCCCCTCCCTCCCTTACCTCCGTAGATATTGCACTCCGTAAATAAGTCTTGATTCCACTCACTCTACCTTGATGTGAAGCCCTCGGTGCAAAACTGACAGTCCTGTCCAGGAGTTTCTGTGTAGCAGCTTGTAACCGAGCTGAAACCGAGGTCGCTTCTCACCGACACACAACAAGTGCAGACGCGCACACATGAAGGTAGAGGCACAATATTCATATAGTACATACAGTATATGTGGATCTCAGGCTCATCTAGTGTGATGCTCTTTGGCACTTTACAATGATTACCTCTGTAAACTACTCCTGCCTGCCTGTTGAACCGTCTCCAGCCCTCCCTAAGCCCTCTTCAGCTATGTTATCTTCAATGCCCAAGGACTTCATTACTCCTTATTCTGGGCTCTGCTCCCTAAGTTCACCAAGACCCAGGCTACTAATGAGCCTGATCTTAAGAATCTGAAGCTTGAAATGTATCACTTTCATTTTCACACTATACTTTTTTTGCAAATGTTTGTCTTTGGATGAAATTTTAAACTAAATTATTAAAAAGTGTTGTTAAAGACATTGATTTAGGTTTAATTTCTGTTAACATTCGATGGCTGCAATGTTTAGTTTTTTTTTTTCTTACACTGACATGATAAACTAATCTAATATTGTTTTTATTACGTACCTTTGAATTAAACTGAGAATGGGGAGAAAAAAAAAGCTGTGATTGCCTAACTGGAAAAAAAAGACAGTAACGTTTAGAGGCCTTTTTGCTTTGGATGAGATTCTTGCATTAAAATAATTTATTGCCATAATGAAAACGTTGTCATTTCCAGTTATTGAGTGGATAGTAGCATTATGTGTGTCAGGGGCAGAGACTAAGATCAATACTGTGGCTGTTGGAGCCTGGCTGCACCACTTTATGTTAAGAGCTGCTGGTAGTGTTCCTGGATTTTGTAACTAGTCTCCTTGTCCAAAACAGAATGTTATCATGTCACGACAACCCTATCTTACAGAAAATTGGAAAAATCATGGACGTTTATCAATTTATGGTGTGATTATGAAGCCAAACAATGATGCCTTAACTCAGCAAAGACGTTCCTGGTTTGCCTCTACCTGGAGTTTAGATGTTTTCTCAGTATTTATGTGGGTTCTTAGTCGTCTGGTTTCCACCTACTGTCCAAAACTATGTAAATTCAGTTAGCTAGGGATTCTAAATTGCCCTTTTGGAGTGAGTGTCAGAGTGCATGGTTGCTGGCATTGAGATGGGCAGGTATTTAGTCCAGGCTGTAACCCGCCCCTCACCTGATGGCAGCTGAGATTAGCTTCAGACTCCTTGCAACGCTGGAAAAAAAGTTCAATTGGAGATGGAAAATGGATTGATGTAATTTAACTTGCATGGACGTGTTAAGCCAAAGACCCCGCTGCAGTCCACGAGGGCCACTGTCCTGCAGGCTTTAGAGGATTCCCGGTTTCAACACAACGGAATGATACAGATGTTCAAATTCTGGTGTTAAGGTGAACAATAAATAAATAAAAACAGGAAACTGGAGAAGATGCAGGGCACGAAAACCTGGGACTGATATCTAGAATTTCATTTGACAAGTCTCCTTTTACCGACTGCACTATTATAACAGCTGGCTTTAATTCATTAGAGGGCTTAAGTTGACACGTCCATGGCTGATGGAGTGTCTTGGAACAGCATGTACGTATGTCACAGACATTTTTCATTTTAAAGCAGCGGTTCATGAAATAATCAAGAATTATGAGACCGTAATGACTTTTGACGGTATCTTCAGTTTTAAAAGGCATACATTGCTAACATGGATTATGTAACTTAATTCCAGCTGGTACACGTCCAGTCTGTGAACTAGGCCATTGAGATGTGAATGTTTGGGAAAGAAGCTGTTCCTGAGTATATTTGGGCTGGATTTAATTGTCCTGAGCAGCTCTCCTGATTGAAGTGGTGCAAACGGTGAAGTTTGTGAGCTGCTGAGAAAGAAGAGCAGCTGCTGGGCCGTCTGCACCAGATGTGAGGTTTTCTTAGTACCCTGGGAGCTTCACGCTGTCCTACCGCTCCACCCCCTCCTCGTGTCTGTGGACACCACCTGTAATCCAATCTGACGTGATCAGAATCGACGTAGTCCGAAAAAATGACCAGAGAACAATCATGGATATTTCCTCAGTTCAAGTTCAGTAAAGATTCTCATTAACATCTTGAGGGTGTGGAGTCTGATTTTTTTTCTCTTGTTAAGTTTCTAACAACTTCTATAAGAGCAAAAGTGAGGTTAAAAAGGAGTTCATCCAAACCTCCTGTGGCCCATTTAATCTTTTTGTGGCGGCAGCTCTAACACTTGCCATAGTTTTTATGCAGAATACTGCTCTAGTTCTTTATGTTCCACGACAAGTAAAGTTGACCTGGTAACAAGAAGTTTACCGTTAGGTGCCTTCAGGAAATCTAATCACTGCCTCTACTGCAGCAAAAATAGTTCTGAGGTGCTGAAGGACAGGTCATCAATTATTTGAAACCCCAAATGATGCAAGAGGAAGGCAAAGATTAGAAAGGGAGGAGAACCTCACCACGTTCTAGCCCTGGACCATGACTTAAACAATGTTTTCCAGCTCATCCTCCTTGTAGCGTGAGTTGACTGTTTAATCTTAATTAGGTCTCCAGAGGCAGCTTCCATAACAAACGTTTTCCATCAAAAAATAACAATCGTCGTCACACTTCTTAAAGAGCTTTTTGAGCGTTTGAGCTTTTTATTGTTGACCTACTGCTGTCAGCGGCTCCAGTTCTTCACTCATTCACTTTGGCCGGCAAAAAGCTTTCAGATGCCCGGCACCTACTCTTCTCTTTTGACCCTAAACGCTACAAATTCCTCTGACACGCCCACCTATCCACATTTTTTACAGTATCCAAGTTAGCAGAAATCTTTTCAGACTGCCTGTTCTCCTTAGAGAACCGTTTGGTTTTTGACAGATTTTTCTGTTGCCATAGAGACTGTTGTGATGGTTCCCTTAAGCACAGCAACTAATGGAAAAATCCCAATAAAAACGGCCTACAACTCTGGAAAATGACAGCATACATCAGAAAAGGTATCATTTCCCTCATTCAGTCATATCATATCACTCTGCTGGATTATAAAACTCCGGACTAAACTGCTCACTGCTCATTTAAAATAAATTGACCTACAAATACCTTGAAACTGTACATCGGTGGAGTACAAAAACATTGTACAGCTATATGTATATTTAAAATTGTCCACTTGAAGGTGCTGTGGAGAGACTGAACCTGTAAAGAATGTAGTTTTAGTGCTCTCTGCTGGACAAAGTACAAATTAACAATGTATGAATCCATCCATCTATTAATTTATTTTCGATAGGCGGGCGTCATCCTGGACAGGTTTTCTCATTAAAACATGAAAACATATGAAAGATATGACATGATGAAAAATATGACATAAAAACGACCTATTTAAAAAAAGCAGTAACTATTCAGAGTTGGGGTTTGTTTTCACCGCAAGGTTTATAGAAAGTATTAGACCATAAAGAATCAACAGACAAAGCAGTTTACACACTATGCAGGGAATATTTCCCACAGGATCTGAAGCTATAAAGCTTGTAATTTGAGACAAGGTTCCATAAAGGTTTTCAGCTCAGTCACCTTAATTTTGTTCTCAGGGGATGCTCACTTAAATGGACAAAGCCAGGGGCTGAGACTGGTTAGAACAGCAAGGCATGCAACCACGTCACCCTTTCCCCCCTCGGCCCCTTAAAGGTTTGCTTTTTTTGAGACAGACTTCCGAGTGAGGAGGTTACAAAGCACAAACGGCTCAGAGCATCAAGAAAAGAAGCGGTTGTTTTGTGTCTTGAAGAATGTGGTAAGCGACAGACAGAGAGTCCCATAATGCAGTGATGCTCTGACATCAGGTTGTTTCCTTTATTTTTCATGTAAGATTTTTTTTGTCGCAAACTGTGTTTTTCAGTTCTGATGAATCCACAGGAGAGTCTGAATTTAAATCAGGGCTGTTTTTTGTTCAACGTGCTGCTGCTGTGTTGTGCTACACATTTCTGATTCAAGATAATAACAGGCTCTGTCCCAGTCTTACAAAATGGGTTTGAGGCAGAAATCTGGATTATAGTTTTGCTATTGTATGAATTTGTGACAATTGTCTGCCTTAGCTACAAGTAATTATAGATTAGAATTTAGGAGAGGCTCTATTCATGACAGAAAAGATGTTCTCTTCCTGTAAGAACCACTTCCCACGCAGCAAAATTACCACAAACAAAGTCATTCTTTGCTTTAATGTCTTGCGATTAACAAAAATGGACGTGGATAAAAAAAAAACAGAATAAAAAAGAGACCAATGCAGGGACTCCTCACTACTTTCTCACACGACACCTGCTTCCTAAAATCTATCATAGAAAAGACAGGACACAGGGTGGCATTTAAAGAGAATACTGTAACTCTAACCCTTAAATTATGGCAAATTACTGGGAAATGGGGTTTGCTTGGGGTATTAAATAGATAAATAGATATTGAATTAGATAGTTTTTAGCTATCTATTCATTTGGGCTTTATTATTTCTATTTGTGTTCTGTGCACCTTCGGTTTTGCACTTTCAATTTCGTTGCAATTATACAGTTGCAATAATAACAATTCATTCATTCATTCGTTCATTCGTTCGTTTGTTCTTTTATTAATTCAATAATTCATTCTTTCGTTCATTCTTTCACTTTACATCTATATTTATACTCAAAATAAAACCAAATTAAGATTGAGAAACACATACTCAGGGTTTAGCACCATTAAAATAAAACATTAAAATAACAAATGAAAAAATGTAACATATAGGATGTTGGGACGATTACATGCTAACATTTACTATATGCAATAAAGCTTATAGTGTCATATATTTGCATTTGGTTAACAGTGTAAAGATCAGTTACTAACCACTGGTGAGTATCAGTTAACATCGGTTGTTGTCCCCCCCCCTCTTGTTTTGGGTCATCTGGCTTGTGGTTGGTTGGTGAGTGTGATTAACGGGCCTGTCAATAGGCAATTCCGTCTTTGGCACCCATGGGCTCAACCCTCCGCGCAATGTCACATTCAACACATTTATTTCTGGAAAGGGCGGCTCACTGCTGCAAAAAGCCAAAAGCTGAACACAGAGCTCACTTTGCAGCGAATAACACCGTTTAAAATGTTATTTGTTAAGAGGTGGTCGACACTTTAGTAAATTTGACGTGTTTCTGTACGTGATTAGCGGGTTAAGAAACTAAGCGGTCATGGACTGGGTCATGACATGCACAAGTGGATTCATTCATACATTTCTGATGTATTAAATAAATCAAATGGAGGTTTATTTGTCTCATACAGAGTCATGCAATGCACAACCGGCAGTGAAATCCTTTTTTTGACAGCTCAGCCACATTAGTGATAAAAAAGATTAACAAAATATGCATTTATATATTTTTAAAAAATGTACAATCTAAAAAAAATCAATAGAATGTTAAATGGCTGAAGAAGAAATAAAAAGTGACCTAAGTGTGAATTGACAAAACCTAATTTTTGACGTGGAAATTCAAAATACTTAATTAAAACCCCCAAAATTCCTGCTGATGCTGACAAAAGCTCATTGAAAAATCGCATTTACTGAAATCAAAGAGAATAAATGGGTTGCCGTGATAACCTTTCTTAATTTATGACTAGTTCATCTTGTTTCAAATGTATCCTCACAGGGTGTTTATGCTGAATAAAATGGTTTAGATTCTTACTTATTGGGCTTGTTATAGCCAATAGCTGCACTTCACAAATTCAGAGATCTCTCCTGTGAGC